AAAAATACGTATCTGTCTATGTTGTATGATTTGATAATGATGAGCTTGTTTATGAGATTTATTTATTCAGAATGTAAACGGTTAAAAATTGAATATCTAAGTTAGACACAGAGTACATGTCTGAAAAAAAAAGAACTGAATCTTTTTCTTTGATCCAAATATGAAAAACTAAGAAACGATGTTCGTTTTTTAGGATTACATTGATAGAGATATTTACAAAATCAAATGTTATTTTAACTTTCATTGTCACAAAACACATATTCAAACGCTGAAAGGTTTCATGATGTTTCTTTTCGAAATTATTAATATTATAATAAGCTGTTACTTTAGATTCGTAAATCTCTAAATGGTAAATATCAATCGATGTCGTATGTTTTTTTATATTAAAATAATACATTCTTGCTATGGGCATGGCCACGCATCAGTCACCCATGCATGAGGGAGGTTCGAAATCAAACATGAAGAAGGTTGAGTCTACCATTTAAAAGAGAATGGTCGATAGTACTTGAAATGTGGGCATTTTTAGTCCTAAGACTCATTGAGTGCTCTGGATGAGTAAGGTCTTCCTTAGAATGAGTAACTCGAAAATTTGGGCAATAGAGGGTAGTGGAATACTTCGTCGCGCAAGGAACTATTGGCAAAAGAAAAAGTTCTTCAATTAGTTATTAATCGATCGGATACAAAGTACTCTTTAAAGACATGATCCTTCCGTCAGTTGATAGATATCTACGAACGAAGATAATGAGTTCAAAAACCATCGCTTTTTTTGACGAAATTCCGTAACGAAACTCACTCTTAGCGTATTTTGCGCGTTTATGTTGCTAATGCTCGCAACAAATGTAGTATTTTCGGATGGAGCTCAACAAGCTCTACAAAAAATACCCATTTTAGTTGCAGTTTCATTCAATATTCACATACATTTTCTACAAATATCGTGTTACGGAATTTCCTAGGCATACGAAATTTCGGGTGTTTTTACAGTATCAAGCGTTTATCACTGATTTCGTTCATAGATATGCACATATTTGGTTAGATTCGGAATCAGCGTCGAATTCTGAACAAAATGAAGTATTTAGATAATCAAAAGTCGAACTTTGATTTTTCTCGAAAATTTCTTATGGTCAAAAATGTTGAAAATTTTTTTTCGTCGAATCCTGTTAAAAAATGAGCCATTCGATGCAGAATTCGATGCTGGTGATAAATATATGCTTACTTTTTATTCTAAACCTTTCTTTTGGGTTAAAACCACGATCTTCGAAGAAAAGGTGAAATTCCGTAACGGGCGATATTTCAAATCTTTCATTTGATGAAGCTAGGCTCAATCAGAAATGACCTGATATTCTAACTGCTTGTTAAAAACGGAACAACTTTTGCATATAACGTTTATCGGTGTGTTGCTTTGTTTCGTACAAAAACGCTTAACTTTTGACCACCCTAAAAAAAATTTCCATTTTTTGAAATTCCGTAACGGTCAGTATTTGTTGAATAACTCTGTTGTCGCTAAAGATAAATTGATAAAATTTTTACTGGTAATAGATCTCAACGACCTCTATATGTGATAAAAATTTCAGGCAGTTGGCTTCTATTACTGAGATGTTACAGATGTTGCAATGTGAAAAAATGAAATTCCGTAACGCGTGGCCACGCCGCTATCTGTTTTCGATTTCGATGTAGAATGCACTGATTTAAACAATTTCAAACATTTTCTTTCTTTACAGTTGGCATTATTTTCAATAAATGAAATTATTCAATTTTATTTCAAATGAAAGAAACTATATAATCATTTTTAATTATTCTATCTCACACTTACCTTTGTCTAGAATAAAGCATATTGTCTTCAAGTTCAATGATCCAAAACAACAGAAATAATCGATTGTAACAAAATTTATGTCAATTTCAAACTTTTAATTAGATCTATTACATTTTTAAATCTTCAAAATTTCTTTTTAGTAACTTATCCAGGCTTGAAAACTTCGAAAGAAATGATCGTTCCATTCGATGAATTGATGGAATGAGTTTAAATGGAAAATAATTGAATTCTTTCAATTATTATAGAGATTTGAGTATGCTTTTTAATTTCAACTATAGATGTACGTGTGGGTGAGAGCTTGAAGTATGCATATCGATGTACTTCTCTTTTTGTAAGATTTGTCAACCGAGAGAATTTTGGGGTATGGGTGATGTTTGTCCCTTCAAGCACATCCATACCTACACCCTAGATCTTACGAGAGCGTCCATAGAGCATCGAGTATACGAAGCACTCGATAAAATTTTTTTTTTCGATTTTTTTTGCTCACTCAATATCCCATTGCTTGACAAACACCGGTTGTTATCATGTGCTGCGTATTATCATTCCGTAACGTCGACGTCGTTTTTTATCGCGTCTTTCCGTTTTCATACCTTTTCTTTCTTCCGTTTCTACTTCTTCTCGTTCTTCGTAACAGAAGAATAAAAATAATTTTCTAACTAATGGAGCTTTTGAGGATGGCTCAAAAACAAATGAACCTTCCCAGGCATATTCGACGTTCTGTTGGTGACCCGTGCAGGTGGTAGGCCTTCATAGCATACATCAATGTATGTATATATAGAAGCGTCCATTTCGTCACCGTCTTTTCGAAGATGATGATCATGGTCGCACTATTCATATGTACATCGATGTATGTTTGCCTAACCATTGTTGGCTTTGTCCACTGTACGAGCCAGCAGTATACGGAGGGTATCTCTGGTCGCGCATGTGCGAAATTTGGCAGCTGCTTGCTTCGGCGAGCTTAGATTTCAAGATGGCCAATTTATTTTCTCTTTAAAATCGAAAAAAAACCAATTACATTTTCTTTTTTACATTTTCAATGTTTCTTTTCACCAGAGCAATATACGGATGTGTTGGAGGCAGTGATGTTCCAAAGATTTCTTGAGCTTTTTCATAATGTGAAAGTGCTTTGGAGTACTCGCCCATTTTACCATACGCCGTACCGATGTTGAGGTAGGAAGCAGCCAAGTCGGGATGATTCGGAGGAAGAGCTATTTTACGGATTTCTAGTGATCGTTCGTGCGATGAAAGTGCTTTCGAGTACTCGCCCATGTTATAATACACCGAACCGATGTTGAGGTAGGAAGTAGCCAAGTCGGGATGATTCTGAGGGAGGGCTATTTTACGGATTTCAAGTGATTGTTCGTGCGATGAAAGTGCTTTCGAGTACTCGCCCATGTCAAAATACACGTTACCGATGTTGTTATAGGAAGAAGCCAAGCCGGGATGATTCGGAGGGAGAGCTATTTTCTTGATTTCAAGTGATCGT